TCCCTCACGAATGGCTTTTAAATCTTTCTCGGTGGGTGGTATGTCATCACCAAAAAGACATTTCAGACAGATTAACATTGCCCGAGGAATTGGGTTGCCTGTCGTTTCTTTTCTGAAAAGTTTTAATTCACCCTCGCTAAAACCTAAATCCTCCCCACCAAGAACGCATTTATAATTCTGCTGTTTTTCTTTGCGTTGCTCGTGCTTTTTTACTCAATCATCTTTAATCGGCTCTTTTTTTTCATGGTCTACACCAGCACAACCCCCGCAAACTAACTTACTATTTAGTCAAGCAAGAGCCCAATATTTAGCCCCCTCACTTGACAAATAACTTTCAGATTTCTTACAGTTAGCACATTTCAGCGGTCAAATATGCGGATTATTTAAACATTTCTCACAAAAATATCGCATTGTCTCCGCTTCAAATTTGTAATCATTGCCTTTAACTGCCTTGCGACAAGAGAAGCAGTTTTTTATCATTTCTTTATATTCTTGCTTTTTCTTTTGCTTTCTTAATTCTTGTTGTTTATTCACAATGTTAAATGTCAATCGTAATTGTTTCTTTCTCTTTTTCTTTGTGTTGGCAGTCCTTACAGTGTTTCCCTACCAATTCCCTTTTATCTTTATTATCAAAGGTCAAAATCTCTTTAACTGGCTTTTTTTGCTTACATTGCGGACACTTCACCTTAAATAAGTAGAGTAAGAGCAAAATTGCTTTTATAATTCCTAAGATAATCCCTATAATTAGCACTATTATTTTGCCTTTCATGATTGCTATTGTGTCCGCCCAGTTATCTCATTTAAGCAATCTAAACAGTGGAGACCGCCATTATAAACCTTAAAAGCCTGTTTATCATCTCCCTCGACATTACAACGAACGCATTTATATAATTCCTCAGTTTTGTTGGTTTCCTCTAAAAAAGAGGGCTTGGGTTTAATATTATTGACTTTTTCTACTTTCTCGGGCTCGGTTTCTTGTTTGGGCTTTTCTTGCCAAGTTTCAGGG